CCAATACCTGTCCCTGAACGAGAGAAAAGGTAAAGAGACAAAAAGAGATTGGGTGAAAAAAGAATTAGAGAGAAGAGATAAAAGACAAAATGGATTTGGGTCAAAAAAATTAATGTGGAAATTGGGGGTTAAAAAGTTAAGAGATGGAGATAATAGGGGTTAGAACAAGAGAAAATAAAAATAATTATAAAATAATAACAAAAACTATAATAATTTTTGGGCCCCATTGAGAAGTGGGCCCTGCTCGCCCTGGGCCAGGGCCGCCCCTATCAACGGCTTTATTCTCGCCGGCGGTGGCACCGTCGACGGACAAGGTCAAGCCCTTTGGCAGTACAACGACTCTAAAACCAACCCTTAATTGCATTGACTAAAACGTTTTGGAAGACACGATTTCACTTCACATAATGACGTTTGTTTGTGTTTATTTTGGTTTATTGCGTCTTTTACCCCTGTGTTTTTTCTAATTGCTAAAAGAGCTCCCTATATTATTTTAATAGCAAAAAACCCCTATAATTCATTTTTTTTTGGCAAACTCCCACTAAAAACGACTGTCTCGATCGGCCAAGGGTCGACTAATGTATGTCACCATCGGTCCATCACCCAGTTAAACTGTGGGCCCGGCCATAGCATTAGGTATCTAAATATGTGTATATATTCCTTTAATTTTCTCGAATAAAATTTATAATGTCGTCAATTTTTTTGAATGGCAATTAGTGTTGGAAGTCTTGGTAAGCAACCGAGGGAATTAGATGTGACAGGTTTCATAGTAAAGAACTGCACCTTACTTGGAACAACAAACGGGATTCGAATTAAAACATATCCAGCTTCGGATCCAAGCAAAGCCTCGGGAATGTTGAACCCTATAATCATTGACCAGAATTAAGGCACGAAATCAAGCCAAGTACTTATATAGTTATATATACTTATTAAGCTTCTCTTTTTCGAATAAATATTTTTCAACAAATTCGATTTCTTGATCTTTTTCGTTTCTTTTAAATGTTTGCATGCAGCCATCGCTCATGAGAATATCTGATGTAATATACCAAAACATAAGAGGAACAACGTTGTCGCCTCATGTTTCAATTTGACATGCTTGGTCAATTTCCCGTCAATCATCTGTTAGTTCGTCAGTTAAGAGAGTGATGGATACATGCTTGGTTCCGTTAGTAGTAACGAAAAACTAAAGAAAATGACTTAAAATGTTAAATTATTGAAACACGAGGGATTAAATCTGTTTTTTGCAAACTTGAGGACCAAATATGTAATTAAGATAAACTATAGGGACGAAAAATGTAGTTTTCCTAACAAATAAGGACCTAAAATGAACTTTGCCGCAGTTTACGAGGCCAAAAGTGTAATTTCCAATTCCTCACACCACTAACTACTTACAGCCTACAAGCGCCCGATTACCTCTTTCAACCGATCAGCAATGGCGGCGTCGCTCTTCGCCACACGGCGTACGTTAGCCTCAATCCTATCCCGCCGCTCCCGCCTCGCCCTCCCCGTCCTCCTCAACCACCACAACCACGAACAAGAGATACCCGTACCGGACCCGGTCAGATTCCAAACCCGGTTGAGAACCTCGGGTTCGGGTTATTCCCCTTTAAACGACCCGTCTCCGAACTGGAGCAACCGCCCGCCGAAGGAGACGATTCTCCTGGACGGCTGCGATTACGAGCACTGGCTCATAGTGATGGAGTTTGATAAGGAGCCTAAGCCCACCGAAGAAGAGATGATTGATACGTATGTTAAAACCCTAGCTTCCGTCATAGGAAGGTAAAATTACTATCGACGCTTCTCCATTTTTTTCTGAATTAACTCCTAATTAGTGTTCTAATCACATGTTTCTTTGGTTAATTGGAAAACAGTTTACATGGTTTAGGTTACAGGCTTTCCTGCTGTGGAATTTGAAACTCAAATTCCTTGATTATATAATTTTCTCCATTCATTTTCGTGATCTGTTAGTTAATAGTTTCTGGTATCTTTCGTTTTTCGCTAGCTCAACTGGATATCGATTTATATGTGCAGAGTCTTGTTATTCAGTTTATCTTGTTGCAGTTATGCAAATTATGCTCATTAGTTAAATGCACGATTCTCGTTGATCCAATCTCACATCAGATTAGAAGTAGTAAACATAAATTTATATAAGTTCCGATGTTATTTGTAATTTTAAAACGGATTCGGGGTGGGGAAGTTCTACTTTAAACAGGATTTTTCAGGCTAATATTCTGATTTTGTTAAGATTTGAAACTTTTTTTACGAAACCGTGGGTCAATAGTTTAGAGGACAATTTTTTTTACGAAACCGTGGTTGTTGGATATGCAGTGAAGAGGAAGCAAAGAAAAAGATATATTCTGTTTGTACGTCGACGTATACTGGATTTGGAGCTTTGATCTCCGAAGAGCTATCATCCAAAGTTAAAGGTATATTAGACATCTTTGAACTTCGACTTTCTCATCATTTGAAATACACTGCTCCTCTAATTACTCGTAATTCAATTTTTGAATTATCGGGAAACTGATACACCTCGATTTTGGTTTTGATTTCCCCCTTTTCTAGTTTGTTGCCTCGTTTATACCATATTTGCACGACTTTAATTTTCGCCTATAGTACCGATCAAGAATCCACCTTATTGATTAATTGTGTATTGTTGATTTCGATAGGCTTACCTGGTGTTCTATGGGTACTGCCCGATTCGTATCTTGATGTTCCGAATAAGGACTATGGAGGTTAGTGAAATTTATACAAGAATGATTTATTTATTTTCAGTTTCATTTTATCTGTTACTCAATTTTATAAAACGATATGTAGGTGATCTGTTTGTTGATGGAAAAGTCATTCATAGGCCACAGTATAGGTTTACGGATAGACAAAATACGAGTCGAAGGCCCCGCCCAAGATACGACAGGCGTCGTGAAACAATGCAGGTACCAAGGAGGGAGCCTGTGCAACCAATAGCAGGTGGGGGTCAGAATGTAAGTCAAGGGGGCGAGAGGGGTGGTTACCCCCCAAACCAGGGGGTTTCAGGGAAATAATGCATGAAGGAATGGGTAATTGTGTTTTAATTTGGTTTGACAGTTTCATTACTAATGCAGGAGTTGTTGTCTGAATCTAGACTTTTTAGATTGAAATTAGTCAATTATTATTGTGCAGTTGGATTTTATTTTTCAGCTGCCAACTGTAGCAAGTTGTCCCATGTTCTCTAACTTGTCCGATGTTGAAATTCTAATTTTATGTGAATATATAAACTCTAAATCCCCCAAAACTTGAAAATTTCTATTAATTTAGAGAAATATTAAATTAGTGAGTTTAATGATTTAACACGTTCTCACTGAGTTGGAATCGAAATAAACTATTGTTTAAATAAAATTATTAATTTATCGAGGTTCAACTGTAGTTTAACAAGATAACTAAGTTGTTTAAAAGCCGGAAGAAGGGATGGAGTTGAAGTCTTTTATTATGATTTTATGATATATTAACCATGAACACGTTGTATACCAATCGAAGTATTATCATGGGACCTATATGAATTATCATATATATACTACTTTATAAATTTAATAAATTGTCAATTTAACACATCATTAAAAGTATTATTGTAAATATATTAATTACGAAAATATTAAATAATCCAAGTAAAGTCCAGTTTATGAAATTGAGAGAAAATAAAATAATATTGAGAAAAAAAATATAATATTGGTTAATGATTTTTTAATATAAAATATGATTTATAAATGTAAAATAAAACCAAACAAAAAGTATAATACTTGAAGTTGACTGAATATAATAATCTCTCCTTTTGTAATAAAATCGAAATTGCAAGCACCATCGCCAATTGAATCGCCAAACGCCACCACCGCTTTGATCGAAAAGCTCCGGCCAGAAAACAATTACAGCAGCTCCACCACCCGAGCGGCGCCACCCACTGCGCAGGTTAGCTAAACACCCCCTTGTTCTCCATCTCATTCTCTGAATCTGTACTGTCTCCTCTTCGCAAACAGATAATTTCAATTTTTTTCGATTTCGTAAAGATAGGTTTTCCGATTTCATTAGATCTCAATTCCTTTCATTATGATCTGCAGTAAGTGAATCCTATTTCGTTTATCCAGACAAAGGAAGAGAGGGAATTCGGAAGAAAGGAATCATGAATTCGAGCTACGGGAAATCAAACAACAAATCGGCATCGACGAACGCCTTCGATTTCGATCTCGGACTCGGGTCGGGTCGCCCGAAGCCTATGAACGATCCGAAAAGCCAGGCATCCTCGTACACCTATTCTTCGACGCCCCAGCAAAAGCCAAATACGACGCCGTCCTGGTCGCACCAGCCCAAGCCGGCTTGGACCCACCAGCCCGCAGCTCCGGTCCAGTCGGGCGTTGCCGGTTCTTTATCCGGGCCCACATCAATGGTGGGAGATATTTTCGGCAAGAGCTGGAATTCCTCCGCCTCTTCGAGTTCCAGTGTATCTGGTGTTGGCATTGGCATTGTGAACAACAAGAACCCTAATCTGTTTGGTGATTTGCTGACGTCGTCGATTGGCCAGAGCAAGAGTGGCAACAACGCGCCACTGAAAAAGACAGCTCCTCTATCAGGCCAGAACACGTTCTCGATGGGGAATGTGGCTGATTCATTGCCGAAAACGGGATCTAATGCGAGTAACATTGGGGCTAATGTGAATCTCGGTGGCAATTATACTAAAAATTCGAGTCTCGGTAGTGGGAATTTGGGTGGAAATGGCAATAGAAATCAAAATATCGGGGGTCCATCGCTGAAAAATAAGGACCCTTTTGTATCTTTGGTCGATTTTAGTTCTAATAAGACCCCAATTGGTATGAATTCAGCAAGTGAAAAGAAGGGTTCCGATAATTCGTTTGGGGATTTTCAAAGTAACACATCGAAAACAACTGGTCATTTTCCCAAAAGCAATACCAACCCATTGGGCGATTTCGTGTTTCCTAGTAGTAATCAAAGCCAGCCTTCTAAGCAACCACCCACGACAAACGATTTCGACGTACTGTTTACTTCGACTGGTGGTGGCGGTGGCGGTGGCGGCATGAAGGGGACTGGAGGATTTACGAACCAGCAGCAATTCTCGGAGGGTGATGATTGGGGGATGAATTCGGAGTTTGTAGGAGATCATGATAAAGGCGGCACCACCGAGATTGAAGGCCTTCCTCCACCGCCAGCAGGCGTTTCTGCCCCTTCTGCTAAGAGTAAGGGTATGGATAATTACAAGCAGGGGCAATTCGCCGATGCTATCAAATGGCTTTCTTGGGCTGTTATTCTTCTCGAGAAGGCCGGTGATGAAGATGGTACAACCGAGGCTTTAACATGCAGAGCTTCTTGTTATAAGGAAGTCGGCGAGTATAAAAAGGCCGTTGCTGACTGTACAAAGGTATATATATATGTATGTTATATATATTTTTCTAACGCTTCGTATTATTACAAGGAAGTTTGGCTTTGAAAAAAGTTTGCGTTTTTAATAATGTGTAGGTGCTGGAAAGTGACGGCAAAAATGTGTCTGTGCTTGTGCAACGAGCTCTACTTTACGAGAGCATGGAGAAATATAAGCTTGGGGCCGAAGATCTTAGAACTGTAATGAAATTCGATCCTGGTAATAGAGTTGCAAGAAGTACTATTCATCGCCTGACGAAGATGGCTGGATAGACGAGGTTCTAGATCACGTTTTTTTGTTTATGATTTTACGACATATATAATGCTATATCTAAACATTGTTTTATAAGTCTGTTTGTTCGAGCTTTGTGATTTTTTATTTTTTATTTTTCGAAATATTGTTCGTGTCGGTTGTGCTACTCGTTGTGATTACGTATTGAAGATCGTAGAACTGTAATGAAATTTGATCCTGTTATTAGAGTTGCAAGAAGTACTATTCATCGCCCGATAAAAATGGCTGAATAGACGAGGTTCTAGATCACGTTTTTTGTTTATGATTTTACGACATATTTACATGCTATATCTAAACATTGTTTAAGTCTGTTTGTTCGAGCTATGTGATTTTTAAATTTTATTTTTCGAAAATTGTTCGTGTTGGTTGTGCTACTCGTTGTGATTACGTATAATGAATCGATATAAGAATATTTATTGATATTACTCTAGCTAGTTGATTTTTAAGATTTAACATGTTGATTTAGTTATGGGTTGTCTATTGTAACCTATACTCTATATAAATATTGCTTGGTTACTTACAAAATTAAATAAAAGTTTTCATGAAAGAGCATATAAAAGTGACGAAAAAATCAAGAAAATTGAAAAAATAAAATAGAAGATATAGAGAAACAAAAGAATATTTAGAAAGAGAAGAAAAGACAATTAAAAAATCGAGCCATTACTTTCCAGTTTCCACCCACACCACATGCTAATTGTTAACTATAGTTAAGAGAAATGCATAGCTACAATTATATTGTAAAATAAGTTTTAAGCTAATACCATTTTTATCCTCCTAAAATTCATATGCCTAGCATGTGACTAAAACCGCCAGTCGCTTTTCACTTTCTCTCTCTTCCCTCTTCCCTTCTCCCCGTCTTCCCCATCTCTCTTATGCAATTTCTTGACTCACTCGAGTCTGAAATGGTAAGGGAATTCGAGTTAATTTTATGATGTATGTGCATTTATTTTATCAGTGATAATAATTTAATGTGTAGGCAACGACTAGTGCTGAACCCGATTTTAAGAATCAAATCGATTTTCGTCGTGAAGGTGGTGAAGACCATTGAGAGTGGAACCAATGTTTTGAAGAATATAGTGGGGCTAGCAAAATAATTTGTAACAAAGAAGAAGACGGAAGAGGCTTCGAAGTTTGTGATTTCAAGTTTCAATTTGTACTGCGGACATAGTAGATCGTCGGAGGCTGCTCCTCCTTCTCCGCCAGTTGGACGTGTTTCTTTAGGGTTGCTTACGGCTATACTTTGGGCAAAACTCCCAATCATTCCCAAAGAAGGTCGCTCTGGCAAAACCTGTCAGAGGTGGTGGAGGTGGACGAAAAATTCCCCATCAAGTCGAAACAACTTGAGATACACGCGCTTGGAGATCTCTCCATCTATGTATGCGGTTCAGCACTGACAGGCATCTCCTGTGTGCGGTTCAACACTGACAGGTATCGGTTTTCGATTCAGTTTCTCGATTTCTCAATTTTTTTTTCTAACCCTTGAGTTATGAACAATTGCAGGGATTGCTGAAATAATTGTTAGAAACGCCATCATCGACGGCTTCACCATCTATTGTTAAATCATCTGCTCTGACTTCTGGCTGGGGTAGGTATGTATACATTGATGATTTTGATATTGCGCCGAACTCGTCGGTTAAAAGGTTAAGCCCTCTCAAGGGCCAACTTTAAGTGATGTCTCGGGCGTGAGTAGTAGACTTTTGCAACCAGAGGATCTGATCTTCGCATCGAAGCCTCTTTCATTTCATTTTCAAGTGTTCATCATTTCATTTTCAAGTGTTCATCAATTTCAAACAATGTCTCGTGTGCTTAATTATTTTAACTTGAACTGGTGGTAAATAATTATTTAATTATTTTCATATTACCTCATATGTATAACCGCAATAATATTTAGTTGGCTGATTATTTAAATTTTAATAATCATTTTCATATGTTACAACAATTTCAAACAATCCCTAATATGCTTAATTATGTTGTCTGATGCTTAATCGTTTACTTTCTTTCTACTCAATATATGTTTTTCTTTATAGTGGTTGTGGGCTATTATATGACTATCAAATGGTTGTGGGCCATTTTATGGCTATCAAATTCATTCATTACATGAACCTAAATAGTTTGGGTTAAACCTCGAACTTATTACCATATATATCAAAACCCAAAATTTGAATATGAACCAAAATTTTCGGTTCACAGAAAATTGAAAATCAAGTATGTGGTTTATGTTTTGGTTTGGTGCAATTTGGTTCGATTTTTTCGGTTTCCAGATCAGTTTCTCGATTTCTCGATTTTTTTTTCTCATCCCTACAACTAGTATACATTTCACTTGAGTTATGAACAATTGCAGAGATTGCTAAAATAATTGTGAGAAAAACTTTGCGTATTACAATAACAATCTGCATTGCACTGCAGATGCAATAAGAGAAATTACAGTCATTGTGGTCTTCTTCGATCACAATGACTGTACGAGTGTACATTGTGTGAGCTCGAGAGGCTTTTGTGATTATTGTGGACCACCAAACTTATCTTCTGAGCCGGTTGTGGAAGGCCGCCCATTTTTACACTTGCACACACTCGTGTGACACGATGTTGGAGGACAACGGTAAGGGAGTTCATCAAACTTGGATGAAATAGTTGGAAGGTTCAAGTCGGTAAAGGAGTTCTTCCGATTGGATCAAATAGTTGGAATGTTCAAGTCGTTGAACCTCTTTGGTTCATGCAAATTACATACAAAATACATTAGATTAACGGTGATGCGTTTAACAAAGTTGAACCTGTTCGGTTCATGCGAATTATATTGTACAGTTAAATCTTTATAAATTAATACAATCAGGAATATTAAAATCTTATTAATTTAGCAAAATATTAATTTATTAATCAATTAATAATTATTAATTTATATATTAAATAATAACTTATTAATTTATTAAATTATTGTTATTATTATTTTCAATAAATATATTTTCATTTTATTTTTTTACGTATGTATTATACATTGTACCGTTAGTTCAGTGTATTATAGAACCCGTTTCTCAAACGGTAGCTCTTAAAACAACAATGATATTGAATAATTTTATGTTGAGTTATGAGAAAAATCATGTTAAAAAAAAAGGAAGGACGAGATTGATTGTGATGTAAATTTCATCAAGAAACCGCAACAATTAAATCATATTTTATTAAGCCTTCGTAGATCTATAAAAATATATTGTACTATGTAATTTAATTTGTGCATTATTAATTTATATATTAGATGCGACTTCTTAAAATTTCCGAATGTGTATTTATAAATTTAGCGAATTATTAATTTAGCACGTTGTCGACCGAGAAAAAATATTATTTAAGCGAGATTATTAATTTATGAAATATTAATTTATCGAGATTCTACTGTATATGCTATTTTGGATAAAATAATTTTATTTACATAAATTAATCGACAAGGGACGATAATTCAACGTGACTAATTGGTTGCATACTTGCACTCACAATCAACGAACGTTAACTAAAAACACTAAATACTAAACACAAGTCTTAGCTGCAAATCCCTATATTAATCCTAATTATTGTCCATAACCATAACCCCATCGAAAATCAAAATAATGTTCAAATCAAAATCAAAATCCAATTTCAAATCCGATTCTCTTCTTCTCCTTCCCTCTATCATCAGAGTTTAGATCTCATCGGAATTGTATAATTATTCATTTTTTTATTGTTTATTTTAGTGTGTATATATGGCATCGACGGAGCAATTGATGATCGGAGGAGGGCCCAAGTACGTCCAAATGCAATCGGAGGCGGAGGCGGAGGCGGCGCCGTCGGATTTTCCGTCGATGGCTTCGTCCTTCTTTTCGTTTCATCACCATAATTTTCCGGGCGGCGAGTCGCCTCGGATTTTTTACGAGTTGCCTAAAGCTACTATTGTTCAAGTTTCGCGGCCCGACGCCGGCGATATTAGTCCTATGCTACTGACTTACACGATTGAAGTGCAATACAAACATGTGAGTGATTATTCTTCCTCTGATGTACTAAATGATGAGATTTTGTGCCTATCTAGGTGTGGAATTTAGGAATATTTTAGGGGTAGAGTAAGTTGTGTATTTAATTTCCTGCAAATAGTGGTGATAGATCGTGATTAATTGTACTGTGAGTTTCTTTTACATGATAACTTTGTGTTCCTTTTGATGGATTTGAACTGCTGAAAGATTTGATGGCACACGTCTAAGAGGTCATATTTGGTATTTATGGAGTGAAATTTGAAAAGAGGGATTTGTTTTTTGTTTTTTATGGTTTCCTTTGGCTACGTGATTGAACGGACTTCGACTTGCCGAAGATGCAAAATTACGATTGTTCTTCTTGGTTTGAGTTTTGTGGAATTTCTCAACTGTTATTCATTAGAAATCCGTTTTGGTGTCATGGTTTAGTAGATGAAAGTGAAATGGTAAATTAAATTCAATGAAAACTTCACTCATTTTGATGCAGGACAAACCAAGCATCAATTTCTAGAACTTCTGGTTATAGTTGAGTAGCATCAATTTGCTAGTTACGTCGGGTTGCCAAAAGATAAGGGACCTTGCCATCAATTAATTAGATTCTAGTATTCCTGCCATTGTTTAGTGTTAGGTATCATTCACCTTTTGCTTTGTAATCAATGATTGGAGTATACCTCACATATATTATGAATTCTGGCTTTTGTTTTCATTTTATCAACCTTACGGATCACACTTTTATTGTCTAAAGTGCTGATTATTACTCAATTTCCTCTCAGTTCAAGTGGGACTTAGTGAAGAAAGCTTCTCAAGTTTTTTATTTACACTTTGCCCTGAAGAAGCGAAAATTTATTGAGGAGATGCATGAAAAACAAGAGCAGGTATTTTCATCTACTTCTAACATACATATATTGAATACCATTTTATTCATGTTTGTATTTCAAGTGTGCCAATCATTAATATATTGACTTTCACTTTTCCAAAGGTTAAAGAGTGGCTCCAAAATTTAGGAATAGGAGATCAAGCAACCGCTATGCAATATGATGAAGAGCCAGATGACGAGACTGTTCCTTTACGCGGTGATGGAAGTGCTAGAAACAGGTGCACATTAGTAAAGTCTAACTTGTTTAGATATTCAAAAAGAGTGAAATTAGTCGATTGCTTTTGTAATAGTTAAATATCTTACAGGAGATTTTTTGTTCAGAGATGTCCCATCAAGTGCCGCTCTCCCAATCATCCGGCCTGCCCTTGGGAGGCAGCATTCAATGTCGGACCGAGCAAAAGGAGCGATGCAGGGATATCTAAATCACTTTCTGAGCAATATTGATATTGTGAATTCCCAAGAGGTCAGACTTAGAGTATTCTCCTCGACCTGCTAAAACTTGTATTTGTGTTGATATCTGAACATTTCCTTTTGATGAGATTTCTGCTGTGATTGGCAGAGCTCAGTATTGGGATGGGAGCAGTAAGGACCTAGTGTGGGGACGGGGTATGGGATATTTGCAGAATTTTTGCTAACAAACACTTTTCTCAGCCAAAGCATGAAAGCCTATAACTTCATACTGTGCAAAATCTTTACTGAGGCTTTAATTGTACGGCAGTGTTTCAGGCATCATTGTGTTAATGATGTAATCGTGTCATTGGCTGTTATTTTATGTGAATAAATTCTCCCAACTAAATGTCCTGTTCTCTAGGCCTATTGCTGAGAACTTCTTCATCAGGCAGAAAGCCAGTAACCACATACTGTGTAAAACCTATACTTGGAATTTAAATATAAGGCAATGTCTCAGGCATCATGTTGTTAATCATGTGATTTGATATTATTTCCTCAATTTGCTTTTCGGAACTTCTATTTATACCTTAAACAACTAAACTCAGTGTTGCTAACAAAATATGTATGTGGATAATTTGTTGAAGTAATTTCCTGTTTTCTAACTCTATCACTGGTAACCTTTTCTTTCCTTTCCTTGCGCTGTGAAAAAATTCTCTACATGCAGGTTTGCAAGTTTTTGGAAGTTTCCAAGTTATCTTTTGCACCAGAATATGGTCCTAAACTTAAGGAAGATTACATTATGGTGAAGCATTTACCAAAAATATTGGATAATGCCGAAGACCGAAGATGTTGTTCATGCCAGTGGTTATGTTGCTGCAGGGACAATTGGCAAAAGGTTAGATCGTTTCTTGTTTACTATCTACTCCGTGATGTACTGATTCTTTAACTTGTAAGCAATATTTATCTGGTAGGGATTTGGATGATCTGCAGGTTTGGGCTGTACTGAAACCCGGATTCTTGGCTTTTCTTAAGGACCCTTTTGATCCGAAGCCTCTAGACATTGTTGTTTTTGATGTTCTACCTGCCTCGGACGGTAACGGAGAAGGTAGAGTATCCTTGGCAAAAGAAGTTCACGATCACAATCCCTTACGGCATTATTTTAGAGTAAGTATGCAGATGAATTTTGCACTGCAAGACAGAAAGAAATTGCCAATTGTGTAGCTAACAGTAGTTAGATGTTTGCTACTCCTTTTTCTGATAAATTTTTGCTTCTACCACGAGTATTGGTTGCCCTGAAGCCTCAATTTGTAGTGGATTCACCTTAAGATTGTGTAATTTTACTTCTTCCATACTGTTTGTAATTTACGTGAGATAGGTGTTAGAAGTTTGAGCCTAAAGGAATGTGCTAGGCTACTTAAGTATCACATAGGTGGTCATAAGTCTTTATCTAGCGATACGAGTAATAGGCAGGATTTTGCTGTCATATGAAAATGTTTTCACCCAATTATGATTGTTTATTTTTGAAGAAACTAAAATTTTCGCTTGGTAAATTACAAATTTTTTCTTCTAGGAGTTAATGTAATCTATGTTAGGTGACTTGTGGGACTAGGAGCATAAAGCTTAGAACCAAAAGCAATGCCAAAGTAAAAGATTGGGTTGTCGCAATCAATGATGCTGGTCTTCGACCACCTGAAGGTTGGTGTCACCCCCATCGCTTTGGCTCATTTGCTCCTCCGCGGGGTCTGATTGAAGATGGAAGTCAAGCTCAGTGGTTTGTCGATGGTAGTGCTGCATTTGAAGCTATTGGTTTGGCCATTGAAGAAGCAAAGTCTGAGGTTTGGTTGTCTAACACTTTATTTTTCATGATTACTATTACAAATTCTCGAGTATTTCATGTTCTCCCGGTAAATTACGAGATGCTTGATGCAGATATTCATATGTGGGTGGTGGTTGTGCCCAGAACTATATCTGCGGCGTCCATTTCATGCTCATGCATCCTCTCGGCTTGATTCTCTACTGGAATCTAAAGCCAAGCAAGGTGTTCAGGTAGGTCAAGTAGTGTAACAAATGTTCTCTGGAGTACATCATTTTAATTTTGAGGACGACAGTTGCCTATTTACTAATTGACCAAACAATGAAATGCATCTGAGTGTCGTAATAAGGACAGAAGTAGCATGTATGAGGTGCATCCTTATACATCTGAAGTTGCATAAAATCTGTATTTTTGGTTACGAAGGCAATATACCTTTGGTTGTAATGTTGGTTTATTTTTTGGCCTCAAAACAATCAAGTACAGAAGCAATATTTCCTTACTCAAGGGATGTACTTAATTATGTATAGATTTTTATTCTCGAATATTTTAAATGTTCAGTTGAAAGATAATATGTTACAATATTTAAGAATGTAGATGAATGTGATTGCCCAAAAAGTTGGAAAGAGAGTTTGTAAGAAAGAGAAAGAGATTGAGTGGTTGCCCACTGTAACACATCATCTTTACAGTTCCAAACCTGTGTCATTCTCTCTTCATTTCTCCAGTTATTCGTTTTGCTGTCTGTCATTCGTCATCTATTTTCTGAAATCATTTTTACCAATTTGTTGTGGTGTTCTCTTATTCTTTCTATGCGTTTTCTTTATGATTCACTTGGATGTGTGGTGGTTTGGATTTATCCAGGTATACATTCTTCTATACAAAGAGGTTGCCCTAGCTCTCAAAATTAATAGTGTCTACAGCAAGAGAAAGCTTCTAGGCATTCATGAGAATATCAGAGTACTTCGATATCCGGACCATTTTTCTTCTGGTGTTTATCTATGGTATGCTTCCACCATAAATGAGAAACTTCTTCGTATCTCGATTGTTACCCCTTTCTATTAAACTGAGCTTCATAGATGCTTATATTGCCTATTCTCTTCCATAGGTCCCACCATGAGAAAATTGTTATTGTGGACCACCAGATATGTTTTTTGGGAGGGCTTGATTTGTGCTTTGGTCGTTATGACTCTGGTGAACACAAAGTGGGAGATCATCCATCTCAAATATGGCCTGGCAAGGATTATTACAATCCAAGGTATGATCTAACTTTGATTCGGTTGAATGGATTTCTACTGTTGCAAATTAGAGGACCATGCTTCTCTGTACAATGGTTGTTAACATGTTTGCAAAACGTGCCACTTGTTTGATCTTCTAAAATAACAATCTTTTGACTTCCTATTGAAAAGCAACTAGGACTTTGCTTCTTTGTCATTCTCATTGTCTTAAATTTGGAATTGAATTTCTTCATTTTAAACAAATGTAAAATGCTTATCATAATAAAAAAATCTCAGGGAATCGGAACCAAATTCCTGGGAGGATACAATGAAGGATGAATTAGATCGATTGAAATATCCACGCATGCCTTGGCATGATGTCCACTGTGCCCTTTGGGGGCCACCTTGCCGTGACGTAGCCAGACATTTTGTACAGCGGTGGAACTATGCAAAGGTTGGATCTTTTTCTTGTTGAAATATATAAACTATTTGTCTGTAGAATTTATTGTGATTTCCTTTTGTTTTTATCATCTGGCAGAGAAATAAAGCTCCAAATGAACAAGCAATTCCACTGCTCTTGCCTCAGCACCACATGGTTATTCCTCATTACATGGGAAAAAACAAAGAGATAGAGTCTGGTGAAAACAGTGAATATGGAAATCATAAAGACGTCAGAAGAAATGACTCCTTTTCCTCTCTATCATCATTTCAAGATGTCCCATTGCTTATCCCTCAAGAGGCTGATGGGCCAGATGCTGTAAAGATAGAACCAAAATTAAATGGGTTTAACCCACTGCACGACCTTCATGGTCAGACAAGCAGGCTTAGCAGGAATCCGTTCTTTTTCGGAAAATGCAAGATTGAACCCTTAATCCCGGATATGCCTATGAGGGGTTTTGTGGATGATCACGACACATTGGATCTCCAGAGCGAGATGTCCCACATGAAGCAGACTGGGTTAGAAGTTTCAGAGAAGGAATGGTGGGAAATACAGGAAAGAGGTGATCAAGTTGCTTCCGCTGATGAAATGGGGCAGGTCGGTCCTCGTGTTTCGTGTTGCTGTCAGGTGAGTTTCTTCTTGCATAGCATAAGATCTTTGTCGTGGCACTCTGCCATCCTTTTCAAGTGTCTAATATGTAGCCACCCTTTGTATCTAGTTGTGTGCTACCGATTTAATCTAAAGCTTTAGTTATGCCACTTATACATAAAGAACATGCTCTCTGCTGCTAATATCCAAAGAAGTCCATTTAACAATGAAAGAATATGGAGATTTGCATCCCTAGTAAAGCTACTGTATTGTTTTATTTCTTGAACGAAACTTTGGCATGTACATTTCATATAGAAACTATATATTTAGTCCCATGCGCATTATTTATACATGGCTAATGATGTTCGAGAATGTCTCCACAATTTTGTGCTCACTGTGAGAATGTTCTTTCAGTTCCTGATCATTAGGCATATAGTTGCTCAATCATTCTCTCCCACTTATTAGTAAATAAGAGGAAAGTTTCAAGTGATTTAATGAGTGGCCAATGGTCCATCAATAAATGGCGTGGTCGTGTTGGAACGCCTGTTGCTCAATAAACTCTCTTCTTTCCTACTAAATCACGCAAAATATCACTATCAACTTGTAGGTTATTTACTTATAGTGAGATTCAAACGTGTTCTTGATTTTTGTCATGTGCTTACTATGTAGTTGTTTCATTAAGGATGCTCTGATAATTGATGTGTTCTATTTGCAATATTTGTTTCTATCTGATTATACCTGTGGTTCACAGATTATAAGAAGTGTCAGCCAGTGGTCAGCAGGTACTAGCCAGAATGAAGAAAGTATTCACAGTGCTTACTGTTCACTTATTGACAGAGCAGAGCATTATGTCTATATTGAGGTCTGTAATTTTTTTTAACCTCATACTTTCTAATTTCAGTTATTCATATTATTGACAATTTGACCGAAATATAGTCTTTAGTACCTTTAAGATAGTCTCTATTTGGATATATTCCCTTATTTTATAGAAAAAATAATCGCACAGAAAACAAATATGTGATTCTAGGCGTTTGTATGGGTTATTCATGAATTATGTATTGGTATCTTTATCCTCACTGTTGCTTTTGCATTTGAAGTTCTCGGCATAGAAAACTACTATCTGACATTTCTTTTTAAATTTGTTTCCAGAATCAATTCTTCATCTCTGGTCTATCAGGAGATGAAATTATTCAAAATCGTGTTTTAGAAGCAATTTATAGGCGTATTATGCGAGCTCACAATGAAAAGAAGTGTTTCAGAGTTATTATTGTCATACCTCTTCTACCGGGCTTCCAGGTATCAAAATTTCCTTCTAGGCCGTATCTGTGTTCTGTCGAAGATAATTATTTATGTTTATCACTCTGTTGAATGTTGATAGGGTGGTGTGGATGACTCTGGTGCTGCATCTGTGAGAGCCATTATGCATTGGCAATATCGGACAATATGCAGAGGACATAACTCAATTCTGCATAATCTCTATAACCTCATTGGCCCTAAAATGCATGATTATATATCTTTTTATGGACTGAGAACTTACGGCAGACTTTATGATGGCGGTCCTGTTGCTTCTAGTCAGGTACACCTGCTCTTCCTTGATCATGGATATACAGTTCTTGAGTCATAGCCTTCCTTCGGTCCACTCCGTTTTCAGTTTATAAGACTTCTTAATTCTGCTTTAGTGAACTAATCTGCCAGAACTGTGAAGTATGTTCCATGAGAAAGCAATCATTCATCTCTTCTGATATCTGCTACAATAATATCTGACTTTTTGTTGGATGTGTTGTGAGCTTATGTTAGTATATTTCCACAGGTATACGTTCATAGCAAGATCATGATTATTGATGACCGCACTACATTGATTGGCTCTGCTAATATTAACGACAGAAGTCTACTGGGGTCGAGAGATTCTGAGGTATGATTTAATTTCTAAATGGTACTTCTTTAAATTTTTTTAACAAAATAATGTCATATCTGTTATTTGAGAATGGTAGCGACGCATTCGTATTTTGATCTCTCTAATTAAGGTAAAGGTTGGTTGCCCCTGTCGTTTCAAGCCGGGAACTAGAATTACTATCTCTAGTATTGAAGGATTATGTTTTCTTGTTTATACCTTTTTCTTTTAGGCCTCGTTTGGTTGCCAAGATAAGATTAGCCAAGATAAAATTAAATAATGTAATGAAACCCAATTATATTATTGAACCTTGGAAGATAAAAAAAAAACATGCCTAAAAAGCAAGATAAGGCGTGATAACATAATATTTGCGGGTCGATCCGGCAAGTTATTGGGGATACCAAACATCAAACAAAGTCCCATTATTTAGTTAATCATGGCTAATCTCCCCAACCAAACGAGGCCTTAGTATGATAACTAGGAAGTGACACATCCATTAATTCTGACCCTAAGTTTGGAGTAGGCTTCTATCCATTTGGTCGTAAGGCTTGTGTTTATCTTTATTTCCCTAACGATTTTCTCCAATACTTATCAGCATATCCCACCCTTAGTACTGTTTTCGCTGGTTGTAACTAGATATTAAATTTTCAGATTGGAGTACTTATCGAAGACAGAGAATTTGTTCATTCATCGATAGGGGGTAAATCTTGGAAAGCTGGAAAATTTGCAATGAGTCTTCGCCTTTCCCTTTGGTCTGAACACATTGGTCTTCATGCCGGAGAGGTTAAATTTAATCGTTTCACAAAGTTATATAGCGGTGTATGTATTAAAAAAGATGTTGCTAATCCGCGAGACAAAATACACTGAAAATGGATTCTTTTCATTCTTTGACACATTTTTTTTCTATGCTAGGTTAATCAAATAAGAGACCCAGTGATTGATTCAACCTATAAGGATATATGGATGGCAACCGCAAAGGTAAGTATTAGTGTACAGCTATTCATAATCGAATTTAACTATTCCTGGATCTAATTTGTAAATTTACAGACAAATACTACGATCTACCAAGACGTGTTTTCTTGTATACCGAACGATCTGATTCATACGAGGTATGCCCGCCTAAGCCACTATATCTTCACTTCTTCTTACATTCATGCCTCTGTTATTTAATCCATTTAATTGCATTTTCATGTCAGGGTTTCACTCCGACAATGCATGAGCTTCTGGAGAGAGAAAACGGGCCATACCACTACAGATTTAGGAATTGCCCCAAACAAATTAGAGAGTTACAAAGATGGAGATATTACAGGCACAGACCCAATGGAAAGATTAAAATCTGTCAAGGGGCATCTTGTTTCATTTCCTTTGGATTTTATGTGCAAAGAAGATTTAAGACCCGTGTTTAACGAAAGCGAATACTATGCATCACCTCAAGTTTTCCATTAAAGCTCGTTGGCCAATATACTCTCGTAAATTGGCGGTTTTTCTATTCAAAACAAGATTAAATTGTTGTATAGTATTATTATTATTATTAACTCATATAGGAGACGAAGTACATCAAGACGAAGAAAGCTACGGTGATGAATAAAGGCCCTATCGATTTATTGGGAAGGTATAGTAACGGTATACAGTTCTTGTTTATATTTCTGCAAGGGGAGATTATTCTTTGTGGACATTGATTAATGACCTCAGTTTATCGAACATATGAAAATAAATATATATCGTATTTCATATTCCGTATTTGAATATTTGCCCCTTGTTTTATTCGTGGAAAAGGGTCTAGATTTGGAAATTGGTGCATGCATGAATTATAGTAGGAGAAGCTATATTTAGATTTGATGCATGTTTTATTTCTTTTTGTGGTAATGATAGATTGATTCTGGTGTGTGAAATTAAGTCTCGTTTGGCTTTCTTGATGTGTACAAGAAAATGACTTTAGGGTCCATTTAGATGTACTCTAAAGTCTCGTTTCGATTCTTCGACGCAATTTTATTCCAATGTGGTGGATTTCGTAATTTTTGTATTTTGATTTTTAAAAAATTGGGTAAATTACAACCACCTCCTTGATGTAAAGTCAATTTATGAAAAAACTCACTTTTTTTTTGAAATTACATCCAGACCCCTGTAGTTTGTAACTTTCTTAAATCCACCTCTCTACAAAAGGATGTTAATGTAAGAAATATACAAATTTCAAGGGATGGATGTAATTATGGAAAAATGAGGGGTAAATTACAACTACCTCCCTGAGGTAAAGCCAGGTTACGAAAAAACTCTTATTTTTTAGAAATTACATTCAGACCCCTACAGTTTGTCAATTCCTTAGATCCATCTCCTACAAAACAAAAGGGTGTTAATGTAAGAAATATACAAATTTCGAGGGGATGAATGTAATTATGAAAAAAATTAGGGTTTTTTTTGTAGTTAGACTATACCTCAAGGGGGCTGTTGTAATTTACCTAAATCAAAAATTGTTTCATGAATAAATTGAACAATGAAATCAAACAATGTTTCATGCATAATTAAATTGAATGTGTGAGACTTAGAAGTGGAAATTGAACTTAAATTTTCGAATTAGGTGATTTCGATAAATTTTGTTTTTTCAGTTTTTTCTTTGAAATTTTCAAAATATAATAGGTCCATAGGAGTTAGTTTTGAACCTTAAAAAAAAAAAAAAAAAAAAATCATAAAGTGTTCGTTTCGATTTGATTTGATTTGATTCGTCTAATTTTCAGTCTAGTCAAGTACAATAATAAGATTCAAAATTTGACAGTCACCAAATTAAAAATGCAATTAATTATGATTTGATTATTAGAAAAGTTAGAATTCATAAAACCAACACCTGAGGCTGATTGGTCGTAGACTCGTAGTGGGGTCAACTTATAATTAAATTAAGGGTAAATTACACCTACACCCCTGAGGTATGCTTAAATAATTTTAAGGTCCCTATGGTATCTATAATTACACTCACCCCCTGAAACGTAGTTAGAAACTCTAACGGGATAATGCATTGGATACATTATTCCGATAGAGTTCTAATGGACTATTACTTTTAGCTAGTGGTGGAGATAATATAGAGTTATGGGGTGACATGGCTCCCCCAATATTTTTTAAATCACCCATAACTCTTTGTTGTCCCCACCACTTCCTGAAACCAATAGTCCGTTAGAACTCTATCGTAATAACTTATCCAATGCATTATCCCATTAGAGTTTATAACTACGTTTTGAAGAGGGCGAGTGTAATTATCGATACCACAGGGACCTTAAAGTTATTTAAGCATACCTTAGGGGCGTGGGTGTAATTGACCCTTAAATTAAATTGAAACACACGACTCATAAATAACCGGATAAACACGTTTCTTAACTGTTCATACAAGGCTGCGTCTCATCAAAATCAATCTGCTGTTCTGCTACATTTGAGTATGATTCCAATGAGCTTTACAAAAGCTCCTCATTTTGCACATCTTCCACGTGCTTCTCACTGTTCTTCTTACCACGTGCCCTCCACGTGCCTCCCCCCTTTAAAACCCTCTCCTCTCTCCTCGCCCTCTCCGCCACACCTCCACCGCCGACGGCGTCGCTCAGCAATGGCCATCGGAGACTCTCCTTGGCGGCCGACGCCTCTCCCGCAGGATACATTACCTTTCGAGCTCAAAATCGAGTCCGATTTTGATCGAATCGTCTCCCCCGATGGACTGGTTTCCGTCTGCGGCTTCGGTTCCCTTCTCTCCGGTTCGTACCATCACCCAATTCTATTCATTAATTGATGCGAAATAAATAATGCCAGTAAATTTTGCTGCGTTTCTTAATTTTGATCGTTCATTTTTTTTTTCAATTAAATGGTTTTGAGATGGTTTTGCAGAGACGAGTGCTCGGAGTACGTTTCCAGATTTGATAAACTTTAGAGTAGCAAAATTGAATGGATTTCGAAGAGTGTTTGCTCATGTTGCTCCTATTTTCTTCGAGCGTGGTATAGCTAACCCTGAAACCAAGGTATTTTTCTTTTTTTTTTTCTTTTTTTCTGCTAATACCTTCATATTATGTTATGAAGAAACTTGTTCAAGGCTAAGATTTGAAGCTAAGCATGCATAGTATATTAAGCCAATCGATCATATTTAAGGGTCACGTTGGCCGAATTATGCGTCTTTACTCGATCTCATCGACTGTGTTCTATTTCAATTTTGGCGGAATTGTCATTGAAACTTGTACGAACGTGACCGTTATCTATCGTATATAGTTGCGGAATGCCACGTGTTGATTGATAACCGGCGAAAGATTGGAGAAAAGAAATTAATTTATGGCTTTGAAAATATTGATCAACCGTTTTACGCCTATAACTTGGAATGTTCAGAAATAGAATTAGGAAAAGACAACCGAATTAAATTCGACTTCTGAAATTTTGTCGGTATCTAATTTAGTTGTATTTAGCAGACTTCTTCCTTTTTTGCTTTTCTTTAATCAAATCTCGAGTTCGACAACATAAATATGTGACAAAATTAACTATTTTAGTTTTAGTTACTGATGCCATAAATTACCGAGCAGGAGATATCAAGTTTGAGCGTCGAACCATGTGAAAGTGAAACCCTTGTAGTTACCACTTTCGAGATACAGAGATCAGAGGTATATAGAATCATTTTTCTTTGCTCTTAATATTTTTGTTTCACAAGCTCGATAATCTAATCTTCTTAACGGGGTTTTTTGCCTTTTAATTTTAGATACCATCTTTTATTGAACGTGAGCACGAATTCCGGTTTTTAGCAGTGAGTTGTTCTTCATATTAATCATTACTATTAGATATTGCTTGTAGTGTTCTTAATGTCAAATTTTATTTTATTTTTTATTTTTTTTAGGTGACACTGGAAACATTTAATGGGCTGCTTTACACCACTCCATCTGTGAGCAAAACGATACCCATTTTTCCGTTTTTGTCAATGAAATTAAATATCCCATAAATGGTTTCATGAGAAAACTTTGGATCTTGACCGTTGAATGCAGGTACTATGTGCCCGTTATACAGACGAAGAGTACTTTCTGAACAGATGTAAAGGTGATTTCTTCACAAGCATAGAAAAATTTGTTGACTCTCCTTTTTTTTTTTAATTTTCATTCCCATTATCATAAATCAATAAACGAGAACTTCATTCATTGCCTAATTTCTGGATATATATTTACAGGAAACGAAGAAACCCTCTTCCAACGATATGGAAGATACGGCATTCATAAGATTTGGTTGGATGATATATTACCATGTCGCGTTTATTTGCGTCACTGGTTAGTACTGTTTATAAGTATGTTTAAATGAAATTTTCAGCGGACAAATCTCTTTAGCTGACAAATCGGAAAAAAAAATGTTTTGTTCAGTGTATTGGCAGCAAAGAATCTTAGCGAAGCAGCTTATGAGAACTTTCTCGATCATACGTTTCTCGGTGACCGTAAAACAACAATCCGTGAGTACTTAGTGAATAAAGGTGCAGGCATAATGGAAGAGGAGCCTCCACTGCAGCTAAAACATCGTTATGGTGGTTAAATGTGAAACTACTCTTGATTTTTTTCTTGCTGTAAAATGTATGAAATTTGTTAATTTTATTATTGATTTTAGATTAAAGATCAAGTACAATGGAATTTTTGTAACTATGTTAACTGCTAAGTATGTCCCAAATCAATTTATCTGCATCCGGAAAATATCGTAGTAGCTTGGAATCCATCGAGCTTGAATTTGACGAGCTCAAACTCGAGCTCAGCTCATTTATATTTTTTTTTTCTAATTCTACGTAATATTAATTTTTATTTTTATTATAAAGCTTGAGCTCGAGTTTTTTTGAAGCCAGCTCGGCTCATTTACACCACAAATTTTGGTTGAATTTGTATCAATTTCTATTTCGTAAAATGCAAATAATGAATCTGCAAAGGCCCATCACAGAGTTTAGCCCATAGAGATTAAGCTGCGCCAGCACACAGGGGATACTTTGCACATCATATAAAAAGGTCCTGCCTTCAATTTTCAAAAACCCCTGTGAATTTTCAGAAAAACCCTAGGGAAATCTGAGCGGCAATGGCGATTCCCGAAGAACTCATGATCGACATTTTCTCACGTCTCCCTGCAAAATCCGTCGGCAGGTTCAGGTGCTTATCGAAGCTATGGCGCGAGATACTCTCCACCCCTGAATTCATCAAATCCCACCTCAATCTCCAAACCAACCCCCAACAAAACCTCCTCCTCGTCGCCGCACTGAACACGATCCACACAATCTCCGACGTAAAAAACGGCACCGTTTCGAGAAAGATCCAGCTGATTGATGAATGGGAAGAGGCTATCGGCTCGTGCGACGGTCTCGTTTTGCTACTAAACGAGAAAAGTGAGAAGATTTTGGTGAATCCGATTACTCTGCAGAAGGAAAAAATACCCGATCCGCCTCTAGCTTTGAACAAGACCGAAAGCCATAGCATGCACGGATTCGGCTATGATGGTTCGATCGATGATTACAAGATTGTCGTCGTTTCTTACTACGATACCGACGAGTACTACCCGGATAATTTCGATACGTTTGTGGATGTCTATTGCGTGAAGAAGGGTGTTTGGAAGAGGGTTGATAATTCTCCGTACGATCTTTCTTCTGCTAGACGGTGCACCGGTGCTTGTGTGAGTGGAGCTGTGCATTGGTTGGCTCCTAGTAAAAAACAGGGGGATTATCGGTCTGTGATCGCTGCATTCGATTTGGCACGTGAGGTGTTCGATGAAATTCCTGTTCCAAATGATGTGTCGATGGATTCCGGGTGCTATCAGCTTGTGGTGCTTGGGGGATGTCTTTGTATAACGGATGCTGGAAGAAGCCTTCACCAGGATAATAACAAGACGGATATTTGGATTATGCACGAGTATGGTATGGCAGAATCTTGGACGAAGTTCACTATAGATTGCGGTTACGAATGGTCTATGTTGAAGCCTTTGTGCTACATTGGAGATGAGGAAGTTGTGCTGATTTGTGAAGGTGGAGAAGTATTGCTTGTTTACAATCTGAAAGAGAAGAGTTTGAAGAACATGGTTGTTGATGGAGCTTCGGCTTACGTTCTCGATGGGTGCGTCTTTGTGGAGAGCCTTCTCTCTCCTTGTTTTGGTGCGCCTTAAAAAATCTTGGCGCTCGAAGTAAGTTCGAAAGACCTTTTTCTCGGAGCAGAACATTTATATACATATATATAGGTAGTGTTTGGTATTATGATTAGAAGGTTGTTTTAGACTGTCGAAATTACTACGTTATCTCTGGTTTCATCTTCGTATTTCGTGCTTAATAATCCTGACATGCTTTGGTTTCGACGGATATTGGCTTGTCAAATTTGAACACATTGGGTTTTTTTTTCCCGCAACTCGTAGCTTTTGGTGTTAAGATTGGAAGGTTGTTTTAGAGTGTCGAAAGCGTCCGATTATTGGCTCGAGCGAACATTGGAAAATTTTGATATTGACTATGATGAGGTTGATTGATCAACAAGACCAGTTGACCAATCAAGATTCAAGAAGACCATCTTAGTATGAAGTTGCTAATTAAAATTTAGAAAATGTGTGTTGCCATGCAATAACTGCTTGAATGAAACCCTCCAACTAAAACATTTGAAGCTTTCACATGCAACATCATACTGCTTTAAATAGTGTTAAAGTGTATCTATTATTGTTTGAATGAAATACAAAATTTCATCTTTATTCGGCATACTTTTTATTCGATTTTCGATCGAACATGAAATATTTTATTTCTAAATTTTTCGACAACTAAAAAGTATATTTGTGTCGCGTGCTGACCATAAATTGTATTATTCTGAAATTCGACTCGAACATTATACATATTATAATATTATAATATATTTATTTTAATCAGAATAATACTACACAAATTGCTCCTAATTTTGCTGGATCAAACAAATATTTACTGTTCATATGAATGTCACGTGCCAACTATTTTACCTCATCCCAACTGATCCATTTTCAAAATAACACACAAACACACACTTGGAATTTCAATTTAAATCCCCTAAAATCCAGCTATTTTTGCTTAACCGCTCCACTTTGACTACTTAAATGCAAATAAATATTTATTCAAATCTGAAGAGTTTTATTTACATTTATAACATTTAATTATCAATTTATATGCTTTACACCCTTCAGATCACATTTTTTTTATTTTCTATTTTTATCTCATATCTCTATGAATGGGAATGATGATGATGACGACAGCAGGGAAAGAACAAGAGAAATCCCAATTAGCAACAGAGATTTGTGAGTTATTGACACGCGCCACCACTTGTGCAAATCTTCACCACCCTTTTGCCATGAAATCACCCTTTATCAACTGGTACCTTGTGCTTCGAGTATGTCTTTCTTCTTCTCTCTCAGTTCTTGATTTCATTTTTTTTTTCTCGTTTTCTGTAATGCGCCAGATTTTCTCGTATTGTTCGTTTCGTTCATTTTCCGGGCTGCATTTGCTTTTTTCACAGGTTGACGAAAATACGGATACGTGTGTGATAAAGAAGCAGTACCATAAACTAGGTATTGATTATATGCATGACGCGAGTTTTTCTCCGTTTTTTTGTTGTTAATACGTAGTATTGTGTTTGTTTTGATGCAGCTTTAAAACTGCATCCTGATAAAAATAAGCATTCCAATGCTGAAACTGCATTCAAACTTGTTTCCGAGGTGGGTATCTTATGATTACTATGTTCGTTCTGAATTCGATTTTTACGTATAAAGCCCGTACACTCACACACACACAATGTGTGAATAAAGATCGAGATTTGAGACAGAGTATTATGTGAATTCTGACAGTTTTTTTCTGGGCAACGAGACAGGCGTATCTCTGTTTATCCGACACTAAAAGAAGAGCAGCATTCGATTCACAGTTGAACAGCTTTTCCTGCATCAAATGCAACACAATCCCTTCTACAAACTACCACACAAATGTAAAGATTCAAGTACCAAATCAAGAAACATCTCAAAGATCGAATCGGATCCAAAGGCGAATGAAGGATCTCCGAAACAAGCTCAAGGAGGAAGCAACCATCATCGAAAAATGTCTGACAGCCAACGCAAACGCATCAACACGAGAATTTGGAATCCGATCAGAAATCCCGATTTTCAATCCATCAGATTATCAGTACAAGGGATATGGATATCCACAACACAGATCAACCAATCACAAGAATCTTGAAGATTTAAGATCTGCCTTTAAAACAGGAAACATATTCATGCAGAACAAGGCCACAACTGGTTCCCCTGTTTTTCAATATCGATCGCAAATAGCATCTTCTATGTCGAAATTTGCTAATTTAACAAGAGATCGTTGATTAATAATACATGCAATAAAGATTCTTTTTTTTTTTCTCTCTTCTTTTTTCTGCCACACATTAGATCCAAGAACACTCAAACACGAATAAAAATAAAAATAGAAGATATTGAATTAAGCAAGAAAGTAAGTTTGTGTGACAAGAACAAAACACTGCTTTGTTTCATCTACAGTCATATATAGCTTAGGCTACAAAATTTTTCTTCTTCGAGACATTAAAAAAGAAATACAAAAACACTCATTGGACAAAACAGAAGGTAGCCCAAAACGAAGGCCTCAAAAAGTAAAAACTCAGTGGTCTCTGAGGAATATGTTTTCTTGTTCATTTCACCTGATTACGGCATTACAGATTTAGTCTTGTTTAGCTAACTCATTCGGCTACCGATAATTTTAGTTCACCTCTCTTTACAAACGGCTGCAACTCTGCTTTGGCCAACTCATTGATCGCAGTGTTTGAGGTTTCCAAGAATGCACTAATTACCTTCGAACTGAGCAAAAAAAAAACGATGACGATGATGTCAGAAAAAACACCAATGAAACTAATTTTGGAAAAATGTCCGACTGAGTTTTTCTAACCTGTGGCCTTTGACCCAAGTTGCACAATTCCCTTTGAGAGCTTTTTCCCATAGAGTGGAAGCAAAAGCAGGGCAGTCGAGAATAAGTTTCTTGATAGTCCTGCTCGAGTGAAAGTGTTCCAAAATATGTTCTTCTTTTGAATCATCCAGTTTAGGCTGTGCAACAATAGTTGCTATAGCTTCGTATAATTCTCCCAACTTTTCGTCCAGTGTTGGATGAAGTATTCCATCAGCTCCTCCAGTAGCAACCTACATGCATCGGATTTAGGGACTGTTTGGCTACTAACGTGAACTGACAAATATAATTATATCGAAACTGAAGAAACCAAAAAGAGAACTACCTCGTATATAACCTCTTTCCCAAATTTAGATCTCAGTAAGCTTTCTGCCATTTCACAACATGCATCAACGAGTTTCTGCCGAAACAAACATTTTTAAACAATAAAGACAAAAAAAATTAAGACAGGCAATTCCAAGGTAACATATGAACATTATTACACCGACAAAATGCAGCAATAAAATTAAGTACAAACCTCAGCAAGCCCGCTGTTTACAAGCAACTCCTGTCTACGCTTAATAGAATCTTTCTTACCACCCTCGATTAGTTGTGTACTTGGAGCAGAATCGTCATCTTCCTCGTTCTTATCTTCTTCAACAACAGCTTCTTCATTGACATCAGATTCTTCCTGAAATTAGTAAATTAAACGAAGTATTGTTAAATTCTGTAGAAAAAATTGTAATGGAGAAGAAAAAGAAGAGGAAGTGTTGCCTTATTCTTTAGTGAAGGAATAGTTAGGCTCAAAGATGTTAAATCATCGGAAAAGAAATATCGAGCACAGTTAGGATGCAGAAGCTGCATAATGGGGCGCCTTCCACCCTGCAAAGGAAAATGTGATTAGATTAATCCTAAATACATTTGTTTTCATCTAATAATTAAAATCACCAAAGAAGATTAGGACACACTATACATGTATATATAAATATATATGCATTTCACCGAACCTGATCTAAAAGAAGCTCCTTTAAGTTTCCTTCAAGCTCGCGAATGATAATCTGCAAGAATGTGAAAAGGATGGTCAGATTGTGAAATTTGCTGAGTAGAAAAGGAAGTTTAAAGGATAAAATATGTGAGAAAACAGACCTTCGACACGAGTTTGGTGTCGTCAACAACCGAGAAAATCGAGACAAGTACCTGAAATATATAAAGGTGGATTTTTGAGATTTAGAACTAATTAGAAGCCTGATTGTAAATCATGTGAATGGATCATTTATTACAACTTGCATAATCGTACCAAATTCCCGAATTTGTCGCGCGCTATTTTGTCGACATGGCCTTTCATGCCTTTGATAATTTTCTTCCTCTCCTAAACGAACATACATTAAAGAGAGTTTTCAGGAGAGAAAAAACGAGCAAATCTTCCGACATAAAATGAGTCTAATTAAATAAACAAAACTCGAAGGAAACCTTCACGAACCTTTGCACTCCCATGCTTGATACAAAACATAGCAAGCCTGGATCCATCCTTAGTGTGGATCATTCGAATAAGAGATGGACCTGCAAGCTGCTGAATCACATCTGCTGCAGAAGTCTGAAAAAAATATTTTATTTAGATAAAATAACCGTAAGTGATTAAAAAGTATATATATAATTGGAGGTCATCAAAAGTACCTTATCGGCAATGGTGAGGTATTCATATAATGCCCTGTGCACAATGGAATGGTCTAATATCCCTTTCTCCATTATCGGCTGAAGCACAGATGACATGTGACGCGAGACTGACGACTTTGATAACTGCAGCTTCGATATTACATCTTCTAATCTGTAATTAATTATAGTAGTTTTTCATCATATCTGATCATGTTCTTTCACTGAGCAGACTAGAATTATCTTTTTTTTCCATAAGAAAACTTATCACTGAAAAGAGCCTCAACTCGTATCGACAGACAAGCTTCGTCCATAACAATAAAAAAATTAATCTGAATTTAAGTTTTAATATTTTGAATTTGTTTTAATTGATAGTATCTGATCCGCAAAACCCATGCCTTGAATCACAGTGTGAAAGTGAATGTGTCACCTGTCATCTTTCGCAATCACCAAATCCTGAAATAACTGAAGTTCTGGCGAGTATAGTTCCACAAGAAGAGCTTGCTTCTGTGTTGCATTCCCCAAATTATACACATGTTCAATAACTGCAAAAGCATGGTACAAGCATTTAAATAAATAGTAGAACAAATTTCATGGCAATAGTTGAATCTCCAATCATGACATTATACCTAGTGAGCCGACCATTTGTCGAAGAAGAGTAGCAACATGACCATGAAGAGACGAGATAAATTCTCCTAGCTGTTCTTTCGATGCTGAAAAAAAAAGGTAAAAATAAAATAATGAAAAGGGAGTCGGGAAAGAGGGGTAAATCGGTCTTTTAGGATTTTCTTGGAAAGAGGCGTACCATGGTCTAACATCTTAGTAACAAGATGAACTGCATAAGTATTGCTTGAAAGTGAAATAAAATGCGGACGAAGCTCCACGAACACAGCGTTTCTTTCTTCTTGTGTACAATGCTTAACACATGTCTGTAGTTCAAGAAAACAAACGAAAGAGTTGCTTCAAACAATTGAAAAATATTAAAAGGTAATGGTGGTGGATTGACACATCGGAGGTTGTAGGCATGGAAACCTGAAGAACACGAGATGAAACGTGAGAGCTTGCAATTTCGGAAATCTTCCCCTTCATCTTCGATATTGCTTCACTCACCAACCTTTTGGACACAGCGGAAAGATGATTTAATTCGCACAAATTCTCCTCATGATAAAAATAAAATAAAAAAAGTTGATAGTGCTAGAATCGAAGAAGTAATATCCAGAACAGATGTATACTTTGATCTATCTTCTTTTGCAATATTTCGGCGTCTCATCTTCTCCCAAAGCAAGGAAAGATCCTGATCGAAATGAAGTAAAAGATGGATCAAAGAACCCAAGTCAGGATTTAGGAAAGTATCTTAGCAAAAGACACCGAAATCCCGACAAGATGCAAGCACAGTAAAATTGGCATATATGTGGACTATTAAAAAAAGCTGCAACACAAAACAGAGTATGAAGACAAGACTTACTTGTTCCAACGAATAATGCTTCTTCCTCTTCTTTTTTCTTTCTTCAGTTAGTTCCTGAAAAAAAACGAGAAAGAAAAATCAACCGTGACACAAACGAAACAAATCAAACTATAGTGCAACTTTGAATCACTCCACATCCCAATAAAGTACTCAAATTAAGTTGCATACAGATATTGATTAAAACTCAAATTCTAGTTATAAGTACTCCTTGTAATCACAGATATTCGTCGTCTTTCAGAAGAAATTAATACGACGCATTCCACATTGCACCTCATATAAAGCATTGCTACAAACACATTGCACTTGTGGAGGTGGTGAGTTGTGACCTAATTTTCTCCAAATTCGTCATTTCTCAAACATTGGTCGGAGTTGATTTTATTTTTTTCAGTATCAAATTATTCATGAAAACAGTTAAAAACATACATTCTTGCGGTACAAGTGCCAGAACCCACAGTACAACTTCCGAACACAGTTCATAGAAACGATTACCAGTCAATAAACCAACTCCAAATATTAACAAATTCAATAAAAGAAAAACATACAAACAAACAATCATCATAAATGTAAGGGAACAAAGACACTAAAATAAAATATAAAAAAGGTCGAACCTTTGCACGCAAACGGCCAATTTTCTTGGAGTCATCCACTCCATCTTTATTCACACTAGGTTTATGGTAGTCCTTTGAAGGTGATTTGAAGGGCTTTTTCGTGAATTTACTCTGAACATCGCTCGAGCTGAACTTAGGCTTATTGGAATTAGGAGTAAACTTAGGTTTCTTCGAAATAGAGTCAGTTCCCTCTGTTTTCTGGTTAGGGATTCTCTTTCTCTTGTTCATTTCGCCGCTACTCTTCTGAGGCTTCGCCGCCATTGTTAAAAGTTGAACCTCGAGTGACTGATTACTGCAAGTTTTGAGAAACGCCGTATTCTCTCTTTTCTCTGCGCTCTTTTGTTATTGGGCCGAACTATGAAATGAAAGTGGGTATCGGATATTATATATTCACAGATTAATACTTGGGCTTTTTTTGGGCTATTATTATTTGGGTAATTACAAGCATCTCCCTAAACTATGAATTTTCTTATACTTTCACCCCTATGGACTCAAATTCAACATAATCTTCTAGACTCCATGGAATGTTCTCTAGTTTGTACTTGTTTTCTGCAAAAATAATTTTTTTAATGCACCACAATCTGATATTTACAAGTCAAGAGATGCGTTTTATGATCGTTTTGTTTCGAAATGTGGAGCTCGAATGTGATAAAACGGGTACAAACTGGAGAACATTCCACATGATCTAGAAAATTACACTATATTTGACACCGTAAGGGTTGAAGTGTAAAAAGATTCATAGGTGTAGGGGTGGTCGTTATTACCCAAACATGAGGGGTTTTATCGTAATTTGACTTTATTTCAGGAGGATGGCCGTAATTTACCCTTTTTTATGCATAAAAGTAGAAAAATAAAATTCAATTATTTTCGAAAGTTAGAAAAGATATTTCAATTTTGTTCCAAAGAAATCATAATAAAATAAAATCCGAATTTTGGAAATTGAAATTAAAAAAATAATCCATAATCGGAAAATTTTCGAATCAAAATCAGACGCAATTCGGATTTTTTTGCTTTTTCTTAGTCACATAAAAAAATTAAAAAAAAAACAAAAAAAGAAAAAACACAATACATAATAATACTAAACAAATAAAAATACAATTTTTGTGGAAAAAAAAATTAACTATTGGTAGACTGTTTGCCTTGTCTCATTTTCGTACACTTGTTTAAGAACACACAAGAGCCTGTCTGAATTGAGGAATTACAAACAGCTTTATTGAGATATATGCTTCCACACTGCAGAGTACTAAATAGTAATTAGTCAAAACTTATAACAACAAACTTATAATCTCCATTAAATTGCTTATTGTTCTCTTATTTCTTTTGTATCAAGTTTCCATGTAATAACTTATACTATAGTGCATGCATTTGGATTTTCCTCACTGAACATTGATGTAATATTCCCATTGCCATTGCCGCTGCCGTTGTTGTTGCCGTTGTTGTAGTTCCCGCTGTAATAAGCCGAGCTGTATTGATCTGGTCTACCGTAATGCGAATACACCGGTTGCGGCTGATAAACATGGCTGTTATATTGTTCTTGCCTAGTGTAATGTGAGTACTGTGGTTGCGAATTGGGATACGCGTATTCGGTTACGTAAGGCGATGGCTTGTACGTGTTGTAGCTGTGATTCACGTACATCGGTTGAGGTGGTTGTGGTTGTGGTTGTGGATGTGGGTCCCCTCCGAATCCTGGCCCACCTGGATAGCCGTTCCATTGTCCACCGTAGGCGTAGCGGTGTCCGTAATCCGGTGGGTGATGGTACACCACATGAATTTGTTCCGCGTCCCTAGGTTTGTTAGAGGGTTGACTTGTTGTGTCGTTAGTCGATTCAGGGGAAGGGTTTGCATTAGATAGATGTGGATTATCTGGCGGTGGTGGTGGTGGTGGTGAGTCTTTTTGTGGCTCTGCTGATGGTGGTGGTGGTGGTGATTGATCTGTTTGTTGTTGTTGTTGTTGTTGTTGTTGTTGTTGTTGTTGTTGATGTTCTGTGGGCGGCTTGTTGGATTCTGGCGGTGGTGCTCCTCCTTCTCCTTCGGCTGTGCCACCACCTTCGGGTGGTGGTGGTGGTGGTGGCGGCTCGGATGTTGGTTGATCGGGTTGTTCGGTGTGCGAACATATGATTGCGCTTTTTCTTGTTTTCTTGATGGCTTTGACGATTTTTTCGGGATCGGCCCACCCGATTATTGTTATTTTTTGCTGAGGGAAATCAACGTATAGATCGTATATACCTGCAATCAAAATCCGAACAACACTTTTGTTAGACGATCATGCTACTATGCAATAATTACGATCGAGGAAATTAAAAAGGAGCTAGCTAGATATCGTAAATTCCGAGTTCGATATAACCTGTGATGCCGTTTAGTGCTTTCTTGATCTTCTGAACACAGCCATTGCAATCCATTCTGACTCTTATCTCTGTCACTCTCGGTTTCTGCATCGTTTCGGAGTTAACGAAATGTTTTCCGGACGAAATATATCGACGAATAGCGAATTCATATATTTGATATTAAGACAGATAGACACAGATATTTACATACATACCTCCATGGTTGAAGAATGGTGAACGGAGAAAACTTGGAATAAATTAAAGGTGGTTTCTTTCAAAAAAAAAAACAGGGTGGAGAAATGAATGGAGAATCAAATATATGGCATGCATTTGCATGTAAAAAAAGGAGGGGAATATATAAAAGTTTTCGAATTGTGGGTCATGCAAAGAATCTCCTTTTTCGTGTTGAGTTTTCGCACTCCTTTCGTGTTTTTCTCTGCGTGTTTTCGAGTGTTTTTTCGTGTGTGTGAGAGAAAGTTTAGCTTTCTTGAGTCATAGTCATGGAATGGGTTCACCACATGAATGGAAGTCTTGTTTGGACCTTACAATGTTTGAGCCAAAGGGAATTTGCTTTTAGTGAAGATGAGCATATTTATTATTACATATATATAATTTCCTATATATATATATTGAAAGTAGCTTTTGTGTGTGTGAACAAAAATTGTCTTGATTGTTTATTATTGGATTTTAAAGCACCAAATATTGTTTTTTTTAGACCAAATGGCCCTTATTAATTGTTCTCTTGTTGTATTGCTTTTGACTCATCAATTGTTCTTTACACTTCTGAATTGTACAAGATCTCCAAGTTGATAGGTTTCAAGAAAAATTATGATTTTTTTTAGTAGTGTAAACTAATCGAATTGATATCAACGTATGGTTGTTAAAATTGTGTTTGTGTTTAGTTTGATAAGTAATTGAGTTGAGCTCGAACATGTTTTAATCGAGCAGAACTTTACAGTTTTTAGAACAAAAATGTGTTCAAGTTTGGTTCAGTTATGCTAACAAACCGAACTCGAACGAGCTTTTAAGGACGATCTCAAAATCGAGTATGAAGTAGTTTTAATCGTGTAAACTTTCTTTTAGGTCTACAATATTCTTTCATTGATTGAAGAATATTTAGAGTCGTGTAAGCCATTTCTTTTTGTGGATAAAGACGTGCTTTTATTTTTCAAGAGGCATAATAAAAAAACTAAAAAAGAAAAAGAAAAAGTGGAATGGTGTTTGACTAAAATTTGAATATATTTTATTTTCCATTTTTTATTTGAAGTGGGAATATTTATATGATGTATTTCTTTTGGTGAACAATACAAGTAGTATAGTTCTTTTTTTCTTTTTTGTAGTAAGACACACTTTATGTGCTCATATTTTTAATTTTATATTATCTATGTCGATATTATTTAGGGTAAATTACGGCGACCCTTGAGATAAGGTTATATTACGAAAAAATTCTTTATATTTGGGTAATTACAACCAACTCCCTCGATTATGAATTTTCTTACACGTCCACCATTTTGGTGTAAAATTTAACAAAATCTTCCATATTCCGTAGATTTTTTCTAGCATGTACTCGTTTCTGAGGCACCACAATTTGATGTTTACAAGCCAAGAGACACATATTAATATCATCTTGTTTCAAAATATAGAGCTTGAATGGGATAAAACGGGTACGAATTGGATAATATTCCATATAATTTAGAATATTCCATTAAATTTGACACACAAGGGTAAATATGCAAGAAGATTCAAGGTTGAGAGTGGTGGTTGTAATTATCCAAAAATAAAGGATTTTCTCGAAATTTAACATTCCCTCAAAGAGGTGGCCGTAATTTACCCTAATAACTATTTTATCTAAAAACGTATATTTATCTAAATTGGTATACCATGCAAATTACGCGTATTTCAAAATCGTGATCCCACCACCTGTTTGATTGTTTGCCTAATAGAGAGTCCCGATCTAATTCTAATACATACTTATAGGTTATAATTCTATCTACCTCGTATGTATATATATATATATATATATACTTATAAAAGCCTAGCATTATTATCTAGGTTAAAGAAGAAGAAGAAGAAGAAGAAGAAGAGCAATGGCTGAAAAACGACTAACCAGTAATCTTCCTGAAGAAATAATGGAAGAAATTTTATATAATCTTCCGATAAAATCGGTGTTGAGATTCAAGTGCGTTTCGAAATCATGGCTCTCTACCATCTCCAGCAAAACATTCATCAAAGATCACCTCAAGAGATCGATTGCCGAAGACGAAGAAAAACCAGGTTTGAAAGTTTTAACCAATCGTAAGATCCTCTTCAACTACGTCAAGCCCGCCGCCCGATTGTCATATAGTATAGGATCTTTTTCTCTTTGTAAAAACCCTAAAATCACACCGACTCTCTACGATATTCCCATTCAAAACGTGGGTTTCATGCATATCATCGGATCTTGTAATGGACTAATACTCATCATGATTGAAGGAAAATTAGTTCTATGGAATCCCTCAACTAGAATATACAGAGTCATTCCGTCCCCCTCTTTCAACGAAGCGATTTTCCTTCACGATGGTCCGTTTCATGTAAGATACGGGTTTGGGTACGACGAGTCGAACGATGATTACAAGGTTATCTGCATTAAAGACACCAATTACTTCCCGGAACCCTACCACTACGAGACGAGGATGTACAGTTCAAAGACAAATTCTTGGAAGAAATTCGACAACTGCGAAAAGCATCTTCACGGTACGCATGACGGTATTTTAGTCAACGGAAGGCTTCATTGGCTGGTTCAATATAATAGGAGTACCGGTAGTCGCGATATTGTCTCCCTTGATTTGGCGGAGGAGAAATATCAAACTTTCTCGCATGGTGTTGAATATTCTTCTGGAGTGGTCTCTTTGGTCGAACTCGGAGGCTACCTTGGTTTGATGAATTTAATGAGTGGTGCGGATGTGAATGTATGGGTTATGAAGGAGTATGGTGTTACAGAATCTTGGACTAAAGTTTGGACATTATCGAACTTTATAGATCAATTACCTCGCAAGTGTGTCGGTGACATTGGCAAGTTAAAACCCTTGTGTTGGAGCAAGAATGGAGATATTTCAATTGCGTTCGGACAATATGTAGTTGTTTGTAACGGGAAAAACGTATTGCGCAAGTCTCGAGTTGGTAGTGTGTTTGAGCATAGAATTCAACCCATTGTCTACGTTGAAAGCTTAGTTTCTGCTTAGATCGAACATTAATAGATATTCTTTGGGTTAGTTTCACCTTATTCTTTGATTAGTTCTTTGGTTAGTTTCACCTTTGATCCATCAACATTAAATTAATACATATTTATGTTTCTTATTCTTTAGTTTTGGTACTACTCGTAATTTTATCTTCCACTTTTTTATCAGATATATACATATACTAGAGTAATTTTTTATTATATTTATTATAATTTTTTTTATATGAATGGGGTTTTTTAATATATTTATTAATTTTATTTATAATATGGATGGGGTTTTTTTATCTTATTTTAATATAATAGCAGTTAGCACATGATGTTTTTCTAATCAATCGATCATTGGAAGAGATTAGGATTGAATTAGGGTTTCGAAATTTTGAAATGGGTATTTTAAAAAGGTTAGGGGTAATTTGGTCCAAGCAATAACACTAACCTATTCAGTTGTCCAAACAATCCCTACAGCTTAATAGCAATTACTGATCAACAACATATAACAGCGGTCAACAAAGAAAGATAACAGTAAACCAAAATTGAATAAAAATAAAACAGAATACGGTTCAACACAGTATAATAGCGATCAAAACATAACAAAATAGTCGGAAAATTAAAAAAAAACGCATCTATCGACATAGTATAATATCAGAAATGAGATCGATCTATATATATCGAAAAAAAAATCAACTAGGTCATGACCTATTGCGCCGACCCACTTTTGCTACTTCTTATATGAAAAATGAGATCGACTATATCACGTGAAAATAATAAATCTAAATATTTGAAAAATTACGGAAAAAAAAAGAGAAACAAATCTTCACCCTCCGACGATTGAGATAATTACTGTTCTCCGATGACATTTGCATCCGGCAGCTATTTTGTATATGCATAGAAATATATAGATATTTCGATTTCCGATAAAAGTTTAATTTTCGATAACATATATGGGTGTGTGTGTGTGTGTGTGTATATATATTATGTATTTTATATTTATTTTAGGTTTTCGAATTCGGCCAAATTTGATCCAAATATTTCCGATTTTTCGGCCAAAAAAAAAATCTTTATAATTTCCCGAAAAATATATTAGAAGTTTGTTGGATAACACTGTTGCAAGATTGTGGTGTTCATTGTTGAGTCTTCATTTATTGAAGCTCGTCTTTTATACCAAAATTAACTAATTAAAAGAAAGCAATATAAACAAGAAAAATCAAGAAAATGTAAAATTCTAACGTACTCAACAGTATTTTGTTTTATTATTCGTGTCCCAATCAAGAAAAATCCTAAAACTATACAACGCCACTAATAAAATGAAAACCCTAATCGATCTTATCGAAAAAAAAAAACAAAAAAAAAAGGAAACCCTAATTAATCATGCAGTACTACTGATCAAATCATCCACTGGACCCCTTAATTCCATCAAGATTCATCGATAAGTCGGTTACTCGATCGGTAACTTCAAACGACGCTCTTTCGATATATCACGATTATTATCCAGTATCAATCAGCCAGGCGACTCGATAAACAATAACGTAATAGTAAGGTATAAGGAAGAAGATATAATCCGAGCCGCCATAACCCGGTGAATCGGGAGTCGGGATCCTGTTGACCATGACATGCCAAGAACGACCGTAATACTGATCGAACCAGCCAGTGATTATGCCCTCCATTTCAATCGGTACTGCTGTCAAATTTAAGGCCTGCATGCAGGTAAAGAAAGAATTTATAAAATTATAATCGCATTAATTATTTTCATGCAAAAAAGAGCAAAAAGAAAATTTATTATTAATAATAATAACAACAACAATAACAATAAAGAAACTGTACGTATATATGCTTACGTTAAGGGCATAATTATTGGCGTCAATTATAACTTCCAATGAAATCGAATGAACAGAGTAAACGATGGTATGTGGCCCCTGGTTCAATGGGGGGAACGGAGACGGAAGCCGCGGGAGGTTCCGGTGCAGGGGATAGGGTAGGGCTCATGTGGCTGAAGGTACAGCGGCGGAACGGCGGGCTGAGGCTGGGCGGGCTGATCAGGCTGGGCGTGCTGCGGCGGCGATGGAGGATCTATTACTTCCTCGTCAGAATCCATCATGTTGGTGACGGAAAGTCGGAAATTAGCAGTTATTTTCTTTTCTTTTCTTTTTTATTTTTTATTTTTTTTTAATAATTGATAAAGCGGAAGCTGAATTGAAATGAATATGGCTCTGATCATATCAACTGGTCTGCCTTTTATATTGAAAAATATTAATCCAAGCAACGGCTACTTTTCATCGTGTGGCCCAAAATCGTTTTTAGAATTCGGCCCAACTCCTTAAATACCCAACTCCACTTTTATAAATTATCAAAATTAAAAAAATTAAAAATTAATTCCACTTTTTTATTACTAAATAAAAAATGGGTAAATTACAACCACCCCTGAGGTATGGTTAAATTAAGAAAACCCCCTCATGTTTGGGTAATTACAACCACCCCTCAACTATAAATATTTTTACACGTCCACCATTGCGGTTTCAAATTTAATGGAATTTTCGAGATTATATGGAATATTTATTACTTTGGTACCCGTTTTATCCCATTCGAACTCCACATTTTGAAGTAAGATGATTATAATATGGACTAATACTCGTCAAGATTGAAGGAAAATTAGTTCTATGTAATCCTTCAACTAGAATATACAGAGTCATTCCGTCTCCCTCTTTCAACGAAGCGATTTTCCTTTACAATGGTCCATTTCATGTAAGATACGGGTTTGGGTACGACGAGTCGCACGACGATTACAAGGTTATCTACATTAAAGACACCAATTATATTTTCCCGGAACCCTACCAGTACGAGACGAGGATGTACAGTTCAAAGACAAATTCTTGGAAGAAATTCGACAACTACGAAAAGCATCGTCTTCAGGGTACGCATGACGTCATTTTAGTCAAAGGAAGGCTTCATTGGCTGGTTCAATATAATAGGAATACCGGTAGTCGCGATATTGTCTCCCTTGATTTGGCGGAGGAGGAATATCATACTTTCTCGCATGGTGTTGAATATTCTTCTGGGGTGGTCTCTTTGGTCGAACTCGGAGGCTACCTTGGTTTGATGAATTTAATGAGTGGTGCGGATGCGAATGTATGGGTTATGAAGGAGTATGGTGTGACAGAATCGTGGACTAAAGTTTGGACATTATCGAACTTTATAGATCAATTACCTCGCAAGTGTATCGGTGATAGGGGCAAGTTAAAACCCTTGTGTTGGAGCAAGAATAGAGATATTTTAATTGCATCCGGACAGTATGTAGTTGTTTGTAACGGAAAAAACGTACTGCGCAAATCTCGAGTTGGTAGTGTGTTTGAGCACAGAATTCAACCCATTGTTTATATTGAAAGCTTAGTTTCACCACTGATTGATCAACAATAGATATTTGTTTCCTTGTTTGGTTAATTGAAACCTATTGTATTATGAAAAAATTCCAAGTCAAAATTATTGATTTGAATTTTGACATACAATTTATAATCACTATGCTAGTATGTGAGACTGACTAGTGACAGGCGCGTGGGGTAGAGAAGTGCACGCACGTACGATGGGCCCCATAATAGTATGGGCCCGGCCCAAATAATTCCGGCGCGTTGGCCCATTTATTCCGTACCCTATTATCTTTTGGTGATGAGGCCTGCCTATATCTACAGCCTATCAGTTTCCATGGGGCCCACTATCCAACATTGACTGACCGATTTTCGAATTGGATTTTATTTTCAATTTTATAAAACGAATTATATGGAGTTTATCAAAAGTTATTATTCAAATTTGCCTATTTAATATGGGGCAACTATTTTAAATCTCAATTTTTGTTTACTTGAATACTACCAAGTTTAAAACCAAAATTGAGTACATATTTATCAGTTTTTTCTTACTTTAATACCAAAATAAAAAGAAAAGTACAAAAACACCCTTTCATACAAAATATCAATTATATCAAATTTTTTTAGAAATTACCTATTCAAAAACCAAATAAAAAAAAAAAACCCTTTGTTGTAAAATAAAAAAAAACCTCCACCATTTCTTCTCCTCTCCAACCCTCACCGCCGCCGCCACCGCCGTCGCCGCCGCCGCCGCCACCGCCGTCGCCGCCGCCGAACGCCACCGCACGTGCTCGTAACTGCCGCGACAACCCAATTAAACCCTATCTTTTTCATCTTCCTAAATCCTCCAAAACATCTCCAAATTCAAAAAATCAAAACCTCACAAAAATTATAAAATGGAGTTATAAGACAATAATATGGTAGTATATGTGGAAAGAGAAGCCATTAAGGTAAGTATCGATGTCTTTTTTGAGCTTCGAAGTCGATTTTGAAGTTTTTTTTTTTTAAACCCGTCGGCAATTTTCGACACATACAGGTCGATTTTTTGGTCAATTTTCGACACCAACGTGTCGAAAAAAGAAAAAAAAAAAACAAAAAAAAAAAAAAACAAATTTCGACACCTACCTGTCGAAAATTCTCCGAATTTTCGACAGGTATGTGTCGCAAAACACTATTGGCAACCAAAAAAAATAAAAAAAATCAAAAAATTTTTTTTTTTTTTACCAACAGTATTTTTTCGACACATACCTGTCGAAATTGGGAGAA